GGCACCTGTGCGTGGTGGTCTCCAGCAGCTCTACCTGCCTCCACATATTGACTCCGGACACAGAGCTGTGCTTCATTTCTATCCTGTTGGCTTCACCCTCTTAAATAATAAATAACTAAATGTTTGATTCAGACGAAAGGAGTGTGTGTGTGGGTGGGCGTCTGTGTGCGCATGCATGCCAAGGTCCAACAATAAAACTTGCTGTCCCCACCCCTCCAGTCCTAAGCCAGAATCCCAGATTGAAATGCATTGTTCTCAAATATTTTCTGAATGAAATCCGCTCATAAATCATCTAGGCTTGCAGAATAGCTTAAGATCCAAAACTCATAAATGAGAAACAACCAGAGGCCTAGAGGGAAGCCCTGAGCGTTGGCTACTCACCAGCATCACCTGGGTACCGTGCTGAGCTTGGGATGGCTAGAGGCCACACCTGACCAAGGAAGTCAGCAGCCTGGGGGCGGGGCCAAGGTGCAGGTTTTAAAGATCTGCAGGTGCCTGCCCTCGGGGAGGTGGAGTCAGAGCCTGAGACCACAGCGGCCATGTCCTGGTGTTCTCTCTTTTTCCACTTGCTTGCTTGCTCTCCCAAAGCACAAGTGTCTGCGAGTTCACCGTGAGGGACTTCCAGGGAAAACGTGTGGAGGTTGGCCTTTAGGGAGATGGTACTGGTGGTTCAGCTGGAGTTCTTCCTGGCCCTGCTGGGGAAGAACTGGAAGACCCCCAGGACAGGTGAGGGGGCCTCTAACCAGGTCCCTGAGCCCTCACAGGGTCCCACTGTGAGGTGGCCTGTTGTAGGAGGCTGAACAAGAGAGGCGGTTGACACTGGCTGTTCACAGCGCCAAGACCACCCAGGTTAGGCTGCCTGCCTGTATCAACGATAGAGAGCTCTGGACACCGTGTTGCGGAAGACCAGCATTCGAAACAACCACGAGTAAGTAATGAGATCATTTTTTGACTACAGTAGTTACCAGTTAGGAAGAGGTGCTTGGGTACTTACACCTGAATCTCCCAGACATGTCCCTGAGGCAGGTTGTGCCTCGTTTGTCTGAAACCAGTTTCACCTGCAGGTTCATTCAAGTAGCAGGATGAACTGGTATCTGTGTTATCTTGTCTCAAAGTTGAATGATCCACTGTGTTTGGATGTTTATCCATTCGTCTGTTGATGGCTATTTGGGTTGCTTCTACCTGCTGTGAAAGTTGCTGCATGAACCTGGGAGTGCAGAAATATTTGCAAGCTTGATTTCAATTGTTTGGAATATACTGGTTTATGCACAGGATGAATTGCTGAATTACATAGTTCTATTTTTAATTTTTCAAGAAATGTCTGCTCTGTTGTCCACAGTGGTGGCACCATTTTACGGTCGTGACAACAGTGTGAATGGGTTCCAAGTATCTCAGGCTTCTCCACAGCCTTCCCAATCTATTTGTGTTTTGTTTTGTTTTTGGATGCTAGCTGTCTAATGTGTGTGGTGATGTCTTGCATTTTTTTTGCAATTCTCTTATAATTGACAATGCATATCTTTTCACATTTTTGGCCATTTGAATGCTGTCTTTAGAGAACGATCTACTCATTTCTTGGCCTAATTTATGTTTAGCTTTTGTTACTAAACATTTCCTTACATATTTTGGAAATGAATCACTTATCAGAGATGCAGGTAGCAAGTATTCTCTCTTCTATGAATTGCTGCTTCTTCCCACTGATGGCTTATTTATTGTTGTCTGTGCTTGTCGTGTTTTGCGATCCAGGATGTCACTGCTAAGACTCATGTCCAAGTTTGGTTCTGTGTTGTCATCTAGTACTTCTATGGTTTTAGGTTTAACTTTGAAGCCTTTAATCTTTTGATTTTGTGCATGGTGTAAAATGGGGGTTACGGGGGATCATGTTTGTTTTGCTTGTGAATTTGTGGTTTTCCCAGTGAATATTCTTGTCATTCATGATTTGAAAGGTATGGCTTTGTGTTTATCCTGAGATAAAGATTCCCTGGTGAATTATTTCATTTGAGATGTAAGTCATATGAGAAAGGAAGGGTAAATGTTCTTTTCCATTAGATACCCAATTTAGATATTTAATATTATTTTGGGGATAATGACTTAGTATTTGCCATCATTCAAATGAATCAATGTGCTATTTGGTTTTGTGTGTCATTCATTCTTGGCCTTTATCATATTTATATGTCTGTCTAACCCAGTTGTGTTTTTTTGGTGCACAAAACTGTGGGCCCAGTGTGTCTATACGGACGGCCTTCCTTTCCCGGATAAAGATGTTTTCTCTCCACCTTTCCTTATCCACCTAGTGTAATATTCTGGAGGGAACTCCCTGCCTGTGCACGGCTGCAAAGAGCTCACAGGGCAAGCTCAGTTGTTTCTAGAATTTTATTGCTAGAAGTAGAACTACAATGAAGAGTGTTGTGCATGTCTCAGTTTTGTTTATGCTAGTGTATTTTTGGAATTGGTTTCTAGAATAGATATTGTGAGATCATGACAATTATGATGTATATGAGTGAATTCTCCTCCACCGGGGCAGCTGGAGAATGGTGAGATCAGCTGGATAAGGCTTCTTGAAGGCACATATTTTTGAGCTTTTATGAATTCACGTGCTCAAGTATAATCTTTGTAAAGAGTATTCTCAACCAAAAATAATTTTATTCTTATCCTCCAAACTTAATTATGTTCCAGAGGTTGAATTTGTCTCAATTATTGTTTTAAATTTATTTATTTTGCAAGGCATAGAAGACAGAAAACGGTCACTTGCATATTTATCCTCCAAATTCCTTCAACATCTGGGGCTGGGAGCACAGAAGTCAGTGCAGGTGGCTGAACTGTCAGTAATTGAATCATCACCAGCTACTTTCCCTGGGTAGGAAGCTGGAGCAGCAGGAGGGCAGGCCTAGAGCTCAGGCACGTCTGAGGTGTGGGCAGCTCAAGACGCATCTTAAATGATAGGCCAGATGCCCCATCCCTTTGTTTAGTGAAAATTGCTACATTTTTGTGCTCAGGACAGGATGCTTTCTGAGCGAATTGCAAGGAATCACCTTAGAAGAATTTGTTGTGTAAAAAGAATGGCTGACTTGAGCACTGTTTGGGATGAGAGAAATGACGAGACACCTTTATCTCAGCTTTCCAGAAGCTGTTATCCAGTTGGGGTGATAAAACTGAAAAAATGACTGTAACACAAGATGGTATGCAATACATAGAGGCAAGTGAGAGGGCAGAGAAATACCACCTATGACAAGAGGAGGACATTTCAGATCTGATTTATCAGGAAAAGCCTCAGAGAAAATATTGAAACTTGTCTATACTTGGGTTGGCGAAGCATAAACTTCTCACATGTGAGAATGCCGAGTTGCATGGGGTCAGTAGATCTGGAGAATCTGGGAGGTGTGGACAACAGCTCTGCTCATATGAATGGACTGGGATAAGGTTAAACCGGGTTGGGAGGTATGGGGCTGGGTGCCAGCTCTAGACTGTTCAAATGGAGATAGGAAGCCCTTCAGGCTGTGGGGAGGGTGGTGTGGTGATGAAACCGGGGTTCTGCTGTGGGAGCAGGAACAGCTGAGTGGAGGTGTCGGGTGTGAGACAGTAGATATTGAACAGAACGTGTGATAAGGGCCGTGACCCCAGTGGAAGCTATCAATGCTGGTGACACCTGGGATATCCAAACAGGAGAGGGAGGAAAGAGTGGCACTTCAAGTGAGCCTGCATCAGCCAACGGGGAGTGTTGGAGCTTCAGGATCTCTGCAATCACATGCTATGCTCAGTCTAGATTATCTGTGTGGAGGCAGTGGCTGGAGAATCCAGGAGGACTCTTCATTGGTGAGCGCTAGAGAACCTCTTGGGTTCCCCAGCAGAGGAGCCTCTTCAGGGTGCCAGCCTCCACTGGGAAGGATGGGGAGTGGGACACTGGTCCAGGTGGACATCTGCAGACACTTGGCCATCCAGTGGGGTGTTGGGGGAACCGGCTCCAGCCCTGGCTCTAGGTGCCTAAGCACACTGGGCAGAGACGGTCTGGGGAAGAGCACAGAGACCAGGATTAGATTGGGTGTGAGCCACTGGAGAAGCAGTTTCTCCTTTCTTCCTAGGTTGGGACCAGAGTGCAGAGGTGTTGGGGGCATCAGGCTGTCACGTGGGTCCCACAGGTTGGGTCAGTCAGCATGGGCAGGCTTTAGTTGACAAAACTTTGGCATCAGGATTGCTTTGTGCAGTTGCAGATTCACCTCACCCATCCTAGGGTTTACCGGCCTTCCTCTGAGCTCTACCTTGTACATGTTGCAGAAGCCCTTTAGAGACTTGATTAGTGAAACAAACCACGCGGAGGATAGTCGGCAGCTAGAAAGGCCTGCTTCTGCACCGTTCTTCACTTACAGGGCATGTCTAAGGCCTGTGCCAGACTGGTTCTCCTGGGACCAGGTCTGTGCTCTTTCACTCCCGGATGGCTCCTTCCGGATATGTCAATTCCACTCAGGATGATGATTTCATGCCAAGTACTCATGGAAGAATTCAAGAGATGGGGTGGGGCGTGGTGGGACTTGGGCAAATACATTTGGAAATTTTCTTGTGTGTATGCCACTAAATCTTTCCATCATTTGTCAGGTTTTGAGCTAAGATTTGCTTTCATAATCAAATATATATACTCCCTAAACAAGTTAGAGAGGCTGCATAGGGACCCGTTTACCCAGAGATCCCACTTCTAGGGAACAGACACATTGTGAATAGCTGTGCTGTGCTGACAGATGGAGGAGAACTGAATTCTGATGACACCAACTAGCTCACAATTTACTGTGGCCCTGGACATTTTCAGTTATGGAGGAAGGACTTGCTGTGGCAGCCCAGGCCTGTTTCAAGAATTTATTCTGAACACTTGGGCAAGAAGGGGCCCTAAGAAGCAGCTCTTTTTGAATACTACATATTGTAAGGTTATGACAAGGTGGGAAAACCAAGTGGTGCCTTAATGTGTTTTTTATATTATTCCTGTCAGAACAAACAAAACAACACATGCATAAACTATTTATTCCACTTTATTCCAGTATGAGGTTACAGATAATACAACTCACAAACACACCAGTGGACACTGAAAACTAAGGCCATTCTGTGAATCATTTTTAAAAGTTGATGTTTTGCACATAATGATTTAAAACAAAATTACCCAAGCCAAGATTCCCATGTGAAATAACAATTGAAGGGGGAGATACAGGAACACATTAGGGCTGTCCTGTGGCACGACCATGCTCATTTGCTACAATGTCAGTAACAAGGCTGTCACTTGCACTAGGGTCTCTTGTCACCTGCCCCAGTGGGCCTGTGCTCCTGCACGACCAGTGTCTGGTCTTCCTAGCAAGTAGGAAAAAGGAGACTTCACTCGAGAAAACACTGTAGAACCCCTAGGAGAAGAAACGCAAGGGACTCAAACTAAGGCACTGAAAGTACATTATTTATAGAAAGAAATGTAAACAATTTGACACCCACAGGTTCCCTCCTGGGCGGCTTCACTGGGAAGGGACACAGGGGAAGTTTGTCAGGGCTGGGGCAGGAGTCGGGCAGCTTTAGGAATGCCTCCCTTTCTACAGACTTCAGTCAGGGCTGCCTGTATCCGACTTTTGACACGATGCTGTTGAAACAAGTAATCTGCAAGTGACTCAAGTGGAAATTATTTCCTTCTAACCCGTGTTTTCATAGCATTAACCAAGAAGCAAGTAATTTATCAGGATTCTTATATTAGGGGCTTATGCTAATATTTATTCTTTAAACCTCTCACCATGTTCTTTGGCTGCATCTTCGCAGTCTTTGGGTTTGTTTGCATCGAAGATGCTGGGTGTGGGTCCCTGAGGGCTCCTCAGTATCTTTCCTTGTAGGTTCCAATTTTAAGTGTACATTGTAAATAAAACATACACACACTGTTGACATTTCAGGGTGGTAAACTTCACTAGACAGCACTGTGCACCACGTGCAGAGTTAGCCTTGGAAGGACTGCAGCCGCCTCAAGACGCAGCAGCTGCTGCTCAGAGCAGGGGGCAGGTGTGGAGGGGAGGATTCCTGAGCCCAGTCCCAGCTCTCAAAGCGAAAGGAAGTCACACCTGACATTTGAGGATCAGTTGTGAAAAGTTAAACCACGATCTGTATAGTTCTCTTCTAAGAAGAAGAAAGTGGCTTGAACGCATAGGGAAATGATTGTAATTGAAAAATAAAGCCCACAAAAAGGAGGGAGACTTCTTTTTGGAGCTACCATTTTGAGTATCTAAAGCAGGTATGCCTCAGTGCGAGTGCTTTGTGATGATGAATTCGGTGTTGTGTAAAATACAGCCTGATGAGCCACTTTTTAGGATCAAAAAGTTGTTCCCTTTGGAAGCTTTGGAGAGGCACAGAGGCAGGTGGCTGTGCGAGCAGTGAACAGTGAGTGTGTGTGGGCAGCGCTCCTTATACCCAGTAGGAGAAAGCGGGCTTTACTCGCTTATCCAGGACAAACGTCCTGTTTTTGTGTTTAAACATAACCCGTAAAAGAATCACAGAAGCTATAATTAGCTTTTTTATGAAGCGAAGGAATAAGTTTGCATGTTTAAACCTTAAAAACCATTGTTAGAGGCTGGCTGGGAGCAGACCTGAATAATAAACAACTAATTAGCAAGCTCCCAGCAGGGATTAAAAACAGTTTAGAGGGACCCCATGCAAGTGGGTTGGTGAAAGCACTAATACTTCCCCATTAAAAACCACGGGTCAACAGCACCCTGCCTCCCTGGGCTTTCTCAGACTCTGCTCGCAAGGTGTCTGTCTACCTCCCGTGGCAATGAAACTGTAAGGACTGACGTCACCGTCCAGCAAAAATGGAGTATGCTGAAGAGCAGACATTCATCGCAGGGAGTACATAAAGCAACAAGGACGTCTGAGGCAGGAGTACAGCTGACAGACTTGCTAAGGGCGGACAGTTTTAAATTGCTTGCTGGCTACTTCCCGCAGCTCTGAGCAGCATCCCTCTTACGGGGTAAGGGTCTGCATGGCTCCCCTAGAGCGGAAATGCGATCACAGGCTGCGTCTGCTTCGGACGAGATGGGAACTACTGGATTTCCCACGGACTCCAAATGCTAGGAATATTGAAGGGAACAATTTGTCAAAAGTGGGTTTAAATATTATCATTGAAAGAGGAACGGGAAGCCTAAGACTAAAAAGAAAGATCCCTTTATTACTGAAAAGGAATTGCTGTAGGATTATTGTTTTGATTTTATAATTTGTCATGGCTGCAGGGGTGGAATCATTTGGGAAACATCCTTACTGCCTCATCCACAAGCATTTTGTCTTCTCTGCAGAAGTTAGGTAACATGCACACTGAGAAGACAAAAATCATCTTTATGGCTAAGTTTTAAAGAAATATCTGAAAAGACAGTTTCTAACAGAATGTTCTACATGTTTCTTTAAAGTATATGACTACTTCATATATACCACTGTGAACACAGAAAGGGCTACACCTGCCAACAAACTAGAGGGAAACCAGCGCTGAGCATGCATGAATGAGTTCAAGCAAAGATCCTAAGCTGCACTAAGTTCTGTCTTTTCGAAGTGGAGAGCCTGTGGTTGCTCCCTGAGTCACATCCAGGAGAAAAGGGCACAGGTGGTCTGCTGGGTCCGTCGGCACAAGGTGTTATGCAGACTGCAGGGCTTTGGGATGAGGGACTTATGCTTTCTGATCTTGAGGAATGGGATGGGTGTGATTAGCTAGGGAGGAAAGGGGGCGATGTCGGGACGGAGCTTGGTGCCACCTGGCCATGCCCAGGTCAGCGGGGGAGAGAGGAGTACTCATGCATGCCTGGTCTGCGGTAAGATTGGGCCTTCAAGAAAAACTTATGCATACCATGTCTGTTAAGAGCCTGATGATTGTTTAATAATACTCTGGCTGGAGTTATTTCACAGCAGTCACTTCCTGCTACATATGCAATATTGAAATTACATTCAGAGATCTAAAAAAAAATCATGTGTGTAGCAATATTTTCCCACAAAATCAAGTGCAAAATATCTTTAACAAATAAGATGGTAGTAAGAAATATCTTACACAGTCATGCAAAAATGCATCTTAATTTACAAAGGCTTAGAACATTTCCAAAATAATCCCCTAAGTTTTTACATTATGAACCTTACATCACTCATTTTTCTTTGAGTTTAAATATGCCTGTTTGTGTAAAAAACGGTAACAAGCAAGTTCGATGATCTCTAGTCCACCAAAGATTCTCTCTTGGAGCACGAAGACCACAATGGTGATTATAAAATACCACCGCACAAGACTGTACAGGTAGATGAGGAGGCACATGGCAGGGCTAAACAGGGTCCAGTAGAGGACAGACAGCAACTTGACCATGAGGACCCTTAGCTCGGACTTGCAAGGGGGAACCAGACTCTGTCCTGTAAAGTAGAAATTCTTCTCCCCCTGATAGAAGGCGCGCAGCCTCTCCTCTTTCTCTTCCCAGCGCTTGTGGCACCAGAGCTGAAGGTCCTCCTTGGATGTGGGGAGCGTGTCTATGGGATGCCGGTGGACGTGGAAGTGGATTTCCTTAGGGAAGTCACCCTGTAGGAGATGCCGCTCCGTCTGGGGGATGTTGTGGGGATATGCCACCGTGATGTCATGCACAGCATCAAGGTTCTTGCCTGGGGTTTGAAAAGATGAACACAGGGAGTGAGCAATGATCAGTGTGGGCAATGGTGCTGACACTGCAGGGCAGAACCAAACCACTCAACAGGACAGAGCGCACCCACTGACAAGGAGCCATCAACTGGTACTCCTGGGCCCTATGAGCCATTTTCAGTCCCCACCCACCTTTTCTGCTTGCTAATTCCCACAATGACATTTAGAAAGAAATTATCCTCATTCCCAGAGATCGTGATTGCCATCAGAGAACTACAGAGATGCAAACATTGTCAGAGTTGAGATAGGAATTAGGGGCTATCATATAACTTTCTGTTTCCTGTTAACACACTAATGAAAAATGCAAACGTTCGCACCTTCCACCCAGAGTTACCATGACAGCTCCTGGAGAGAAAACTTCAGAACTTCCACATGAAATGTAATGTTTAAACATTACATTACTAACTTGAGGCCTAGGTAAGGCCCTAACCTGGCACACCAGCTTCCTTAGCTGTTAGCAGCAGTCCCTTTGTAAGGTGTTGGAGGGACAGACATGAGTAAAACACGTCTCTCCCATCAGCCAGCATGTTCACTACATAACTGGGGAGACAGGCAGGCATGGCGCCACTCATACCCTTAGGGACTGCATAAGGAGCTGTCCTAAGGAGTTGGGGGGAGTGGCTCAGAGGTGAGGCAGAGAGCTCAGTGGGGGGCAGCTGGGACTACAGGAAGCTGCAGGCACACAGCACAGCCTCTCCAGCTGTCCTACATAGGATCCTAACTTCACTCTGCAGGTGGTGCAGGAGCATCTTAGTGACAAGTCACCTGACGAATTAAACAGAGAAAGGATCTGAATATTTCATTTCAGGATTACTCCAGGGGTAGTAACAAGAATGGTTTAGAGAGACCATGGTAAGACAGGGAGTAAATGGAGGCCAGAGTGAGACAGACAGCTGACACCCTTACAGGGAAGCACTGAGCAGACATGGCGGTCACTGGGAGTGGATGAGAAGAAAGGGAGTGACAGGGTGAACCCAGGCCTGTGCTGGTTTGGGGCACTGAGTGGACGGGATAGTCAACGAGGCTCACTCAGTCGGATCCCATGTGCAAGGCACAGAGAACTCCGACACTTTACCCAAGCGTACTCAGCATACTGATGCAAAGCTCCTTGCACACACATCATTATCGTCAGTGACCGTTGTTTAAGGGATCGGATTCCTGAAAGAATTGGATCATGCAGATAAAACTAAAAGGTGGTATCAAATCAGAATAGGAGCCACCAATGGGGTGGGAAGTAACTGGCAGTGAACATGGGGAAATTGGGTGACAAATATTCTAGTAAAGGATTTTATATGATGCTTGCACTGGTTACAAACTGCAAAACTTAAGATGTGTGTGTGTGTTCATTCTCCTTAAGTTTCACTTAAGAGTAATAATAGAGATGAAGATGAAGCCACTCCTCCCTGCTGCCAACCCTGTCCCACCACCTGTTCCCTTCTTCTGGACTCATTAGGTAATTCCCACTTTTTAAGAACTGACTCTTCCAATCTTCTGTAACTCTTTGTCAGTCTAAATTTCCCGGTGATCTACATTATGCTAAGGCTCTTACAAAATCATTAGCCTTTAAAAGAAGCTCTGTTACAAAAAATCAAAGTGGTTAAAGCAACAGCTTTGATTCAAATCAGAAGGACTGGCCCATTGGGAAGGCAGTTGTATTGCCTAAATCTGGGGTGGAGGAGGTGGAGGTGAAAGGTTCATGGAATACAGCTTCAGTGGAGCTGCGGGCAAACACCAGTGCACTGAGCAGCCTTGCCCAGTGGCTCACCTGGTATTCATGTGCCACACTAGATGCTCTTGTATCCCCAGATGCTCACAACACCCCAGACTAAAAAGGCTGCAAAAACATATGTATGATCAGTATTCTTATGGCCTACCTAGTATCTTCCCATGTAAAACTGTACGACCTAACTATTCCTCTACAATTACTTCACTGATCAAGTTGCAACACCCCAACGTGAAGTTTCAACTTCACTCTCTATAAGCAAGCTCTTTGTACACCACTAGGAACATAGTAAGTACTTTTCTTTTTGATCATGTTCACATAGTTGATTAGGATGGGAGGTGTCAACGGTTAGAGGAAAGTGGGTGAGACCATTGTTTCCACATTTCTTTGTCTTCTTGTATCTGGGAGAGCGGGGGAGATAAGCACAGTAAGTTCTTAAAGGTTAGCATGTAGCACAACTTCATCTAGTGAGAATGATCCCTATGGTATATTTTTCAATGTGGGTTCTGTGAGTTCTTGGTTGTAAAAAAACTACTGTAGTCTTGGGGTAGAAGGCAAAAACCACAGTATCCTAAAAATGGCTTCTTTGAAATTTCGGGCTTTCTAATGCTATGTCAAAATAATTAAAACACTTCTACTTAAAGGCAACACTGTAAATATTCAGTAGCAGAAGACAAGGAAGTAAAAAGAAATTGGATTAGTTTTAACACTTTCCTTAAGCATCACAGAGACTCTAAAGCCTGCTAACTTCAAACCAGGAGAGGAGGAAGTAGAAAAAAGCACTGATATATGGAGGGAGATAGTCAACTTGATAAGTCTTGGTAAGTTTTAAACTTTACATTAAGTAAACCTAAAAGCCCTGGATAACACAATGCCACATGCAACTCTGTTGTAAGTGGGAGACAGCCACAATCATCCCACAGGATCTGACAAAGACTCCCTGGCCTTGTGGGCTCTAACAAGGAAAGTCCATCTCCAGGCAACAGAGGTTCCAGAGATAAGCAAGATGGCAAAGGTTTGCAGGAGTTGCTTCAGAATCAAGTCACAACAAGGAAATCAACAGATGTGATTTTTACATTTATTAATTTATAATAGGGTAAAACATGTATTAAGAAAAAGAGTTCTTACAACTTACACTGCCTTTAAATCTTTTGGTATGAAAAGAGACTTTAAATATGAACATTAAGATGTCTGCTATTAGTAAAAGTCATCTTAGAAATGTTGCATTGCCATGTACACACCTGCATACTCTCCACTGGTCTTCTGCTGTAATGGTCTTAGGACCTGGACTTGTTAGATACAGTGTCCACTGGAAAGTTTTGCACTACTTTTGTAATGTGAGCATTCTATAAGAACAAACATATCTACTTGGGCCCAGAGCTGTTTCTTTTTTTTCCCTAGAAGGACAAACTTGCTTATTATTTCAAAATTTCATTTTAGTCTCAAGTTAAAGCCCATGACCAAATTCACAAGTGTACTATCCAAAAGGCAGTGTCTCCAGGCCTATGACACAGAACCCGTGATTTACCATAAGATCCTACTGCTGGGGCAAGCTCAATGGAACAGGAGAAAACAAAATCCTCAAATGTTTGTGTATTTCAAAGCACAGAGCTGAACAAAGCTTTGCAGTCTCTAAAGACATACAGAAGCCAAAGGACCTGGCTTGTCCATGACTAAATACTAAAGAAGCATCCAATAGTTTGATGACAGTGCAATACTCAGATGAATATATATATATATATATACACACATATGTATAATACATACATATATATCTCCATTTTTACCTTAGGGGTCTATCAGAATTGCTAACTGGAAATCCCCATTCCATAATCAAATTTATATAGAATATATAAAAATGCAACTTAGATTTACATTTTATTTTATTACTATTAAAACGTAAATCTATTTTATGTTAGCAGGATCTACATCTATAAATTTAAGTATATGTATTAGGAAAGCTGCATTTGCATTCAAATAAAATGCTGAGGCTACTAATTTTGTACATTATTCTTCAGAACCCAAGAAGACAGAAGTTTGATTTAGGAACTAGGTATTCATTCCTCGTGCCACTTTGACACAACTGAATATGCATGTCAACAAACCTGGACACTGGTCTGTGCACTTGGGGCAGATTCTGATTGATTCCAGGGAAGGGAACCTTTTTTATGACAAAGGCCATTAGGATATTTTTAATTTTTTTAAGATTTACTATTTTTACTTGAAAGGTAGAAATACAGAGAAGAGAGACAGAGGAAAATCTTCCATCCGATGGTTCACTCCCCAAGTGGCCACAACGGGCCGGAGATGAGGCAATCCGAAGCCAGGAGCCCAAGGCCTCTTCCGGGTCTCCAATGCGGGTGTAGGGTCTCAAGGCTTGGGCTAACCTCTACTGCTTTGCCAAGCCAAAAGCAGGGAGCTGGTTGGGAAGCAGGGCTGCGGGATTAGATCCAGTGCCCATATAGGATCCTGGCATGTTCAAGGCGGGAACTTTCACCACTACACTATTGTGCTGGGCCCCATTTGAATATTTTTATAACATCGTTTACAGGCCATGTAGAATTATCAGTTGAAAAAAATGAGCCTGACACCACCGTTGACTGAATCTCAAGTTCTACTTGCTATTGCCTTGGTAAGGCCAGACGAAATGATTTTAACAGCTGATCATTCTCCATTTCTAATTTAGACTAAGATTACAATAAATAAGACATTTCAGCTTCAAAATAAAAGGGTACACACATGCACACTTGAAATTAGCTGATATTAAGAGTCAAATAGTGGAGCCTGGCGCAGTGGCCTAGCGGCTAAAGTCCTTGCCTTGAACACACCGGGATCCCATACAGGCACCGGTTCTAATCCCAGCAGCTCCACTTCCCTTCCAGCTCCCTGCTTGTGGCCTGGGAAAGCAGTCGAGGGCAGCCCAAAGCCTTGGAACCCTGCACCCGTGTGGGATACCCGGAAGAAGTTCCTGGATCCTGGCTTTGGATCGGCATAGCATCGGCTGTTGTGCTCACTTGGGGAGTGAATCATCGGACGGAAGATCTTCCTCTCTGTCTCTTCTCCTTTCTGTATATCTGACTTTCCAATAAATGAATAAATCTTTAAAAAAAAAAAAGAGTCAAATAGCACTATGTTCTTTGTTAGAGAAACCATCTTTGTTTTCCACTAAGAAGTTTTGTTTTGCCTTCTGTCTTAGCTGAACACTTTACTTTTAATAACGATTATATGGTTGATCAGAGTGGGCTAGATCGAGGTTTAGGGGAAATTAAGTGAACTCATTGCTTCCAAATTTGTTATTTCTTCTTATTCCTGGGGGAAGGGGAGAGATAAATGGGGAACCTCTCCTGCCTTTTCACCACCTTATATCAACCCAGAGTCTCAATGTGTACATAATCTGGGGGTTCTGCCCAAGTGGTAGCTGAACACTTTAAACACAAAGTGTGGTGTCAAGACCATCCCCCATGACGACTCGAATGAGCTATATTACTGTCTCCTGATTTTGTGAGGGCCAATTGGAAGAGTTTGGATAAGAACCTGGCACATAACACAGCATGTGCTCAGATCCTTGTTATTTTGTTGCATGCCTCTAGATGGGACAGTGGCATTTAATTATCTGAAGTTAGTTTAGGATGAAGCTGTTACCTTCCTTCTTTCTCTAGATATCTTCATCATTTAGGAGAAATACCAAACCTATTAGAAGCAGAACATGGTTTATTCTCTAATACGCAACCCACTCTTTCTTTCTCAGTACAGAAGCAAAGCTGTTAGAGGACTGACCTTGGCTTTAAGCATGGGCTTTAATTTATCTCACGGCCATATTCCTCCTTCATCTCTGCGGCATTTTAAGCCGAGCATGGACAGTAAATCCCCCATGGCATTTGGAGTTAGACTGATGGTCTGTGGTCCAGTCACTAGCTACCTGCCCATCTTTTTTTGTTTGTTTTAAATAAGCAGAAGGTGACACTTTTATCTTTTCCAAAGAAAGTACCATCCTGGGTTTAAAAATCAACTCAGTTAAAGAGGTAAAACTAAAAATGGTTTCCTTGTGAACAATCTTGCACATCCAGGCTAATTCTGTTCTATACAGATATTTTCAGACACCGAGTCATATTTATTTCCTAAATTTGCTGAACTTTTTGTTTTGTAAATACAGGCAAACTTTTCTCAATGTATATCTGTCTTTCAATGGGTCCTGGTTCTTTGGGTCTTCAAAACAAGTTTCATGTTTTTGAAAGGATGAAAATAAATAAACATTTCCCACAGCTTGACCACACTGGTGTATTAATAGATCCTGAAAGGCAAGATGTGAATAACAATATATGCTGCTGAGGCTGGAGCTAGAAAAAGTGAGCAATATCACATCAAATGGAAGTCCTGGATCCGTAAGTGCCCAGTAATTAAAAATACTTATATGCTGTCAATGTACTTCATTGATAATTTCTAAAATTTGAAATCATGTAAAGTCTAGGTTAAGAAGAAAAAGGCCTGAAATGTATCTTTAGTACACACATAATGTATTAAAGCTAAATGCAAAAAAAAAAAAAATTCTGCTATGGTACATTAAGCTTTGTAGTGAGTGTGAAAACACTGACTTTACCTAGACAAGGCCAACAAACTTTTGGTATTTCAAGGCTGACTCATAAGTAGCGATAGCATGCAGCTCAGCTCCTGAAGATGCTTTAGGAGAGACGCCACATCTGCTGTCCCCTGCTCCCCAACAGCCTTGATGGGATTCACATGAGCTACCCAGGGCAATCCCTGCAGGGCCTGCTTCAGGAACATGTTCCCGATTCACTTTGCCACATGAGATGTGAGGGGGTGTTGCTGGGGCTAAGTGGCCTGTTTTGAGAATTCAGTCATTTGCTATCTTACGGTTTTATAAGAGCTCTTTATATAGTAAAGGCATTACCTAATTTAGCACATTTATTAAAAATATTTTATTCTAATTTGGCCGATGACCACTCTTTTGTTGGATTTGCTGCTCTGTGAACATAGCTTTTTTTCTTTTGTGCATTTCCTACAGGTTGTTTTTCTCCCAGAATCGATTGGCAAGGTTCCTTCTGTATGACTATTTTCTGCATAATGAAATGCAAATATTATGGCATCTTTTGCAACGGTATATTTGTAGACATCCAAAAAAATTGTCTGCAATATGTTAAGATAATATGTATATTTATTTCTAAAAATAGGGATGGATGTTTAGTTTCAAGATATTTTCCTTACCGGTTTAAAAAAATATATCAGCCTTTTATTTCACAGGTAGCATCTTTCAGTTATTAAAATGATAGGCAATGCCTCTTTTGGTTTGGTGTGGTACTGAAACAGTCCATGGCTTAAAGTCACAACCATCTGAGTTGTCTGATAGTGCACTTTCTTCTAAAGGATACAGACAGTCTTTGTTTACATGAATTAATTCTCTTGGGGAATTACCTCTAAATGCCTTATTACCAATGTGTGCGGCCTTCTACTTGTTGATGACATACAGAGGTATTTAGTCTGCTGCTGTGTGTTGTTTCCACTTATGCTATATCACCTGTAGCACTTGGGTCAGACTATTTTGTATGATGTAATCTGCTAAAAGGAAAGCTATTATAAACACAGTTGATAGATTTATATTTAGCCAACTAGAACATGCTAAAAAAATATTTAAATTGTGTTATATATAGTAAGTGAAAATTTACTATTTTGTGTTGAGTACTGAAAAACATTTTAAATCATAACTTCTGAAAAAGTATAACTGTTATTATAGTATAAAATTTCTTTTGTAAGTACCTCTTTTTTTATTGTTCCAAGCATATTTGAAACAGTATTTTTCTGGCCTTGAAAAATATGTACATTCTCATATAAAAATAAAATCTGTATATTATCATATACTTTACAGTCAAAACCAAAACATTTACCCATACTTTAAATGTTTATACATATGTTAACAAAGCTGTTGGAGGAAAACACTGAGGCAGCTTTTCTCATGACAGAATGTTCCCTAACTCTGTCCAACCTGAAGACATTTCCTTTCTAACACTGAAATTCCTGAAAGTTGCTACTGAAGAACTATGTAAATTTTCTTTTATTAAATGTTACTAATAAGAGTTTAAAGGATTATGAGAACATATTCTACATGTGATTTAACTACAGGGTTTTGCATTCTATATACACACAAAGCTAATGGTTATGCATGAGTACCACATAAAGTGCTAAATATTTGATTCATAAACATTAGTATTGAAGTCAAGAGTTATGTCACATATTAAGTCTATTTTCAGTAAAAATGCAGACTATTCTGTTTTGGCTGTGTCATATGGAAAAAGGGCATGGGTATTAATTTCATAAGGGGTGTTAAAAAGGCTCATGCAAATGCTTTTGATGCAAGATATTTTTTCATAATACAAATTCTTTTATTTGAACATCCTTGTACAGGAAGGCCAAGTCCCTATACTTAAGTGTCTTGTCTTTCTTTAACTCCAAGAATTTTTAGAATGTAAATTACTAAGGAAAAAATGGGCAGCAATAACAACAACAATGTGCTATTAAGGGTAAGGCAAAGGGTATTAATTCTGAGTTGTCTTTAGAATTCCCAAGTTGTCTTACATGTACTTAAACCTGTGCATCTGTCAACTGCATTGTTGATAACATGGACTTTTTAAGGCCATTTCCCCACCAAATTAATTTTTTTTTTCATTCTCATTATTATAAAGTGTCAGCACAAACTACTAATTTACTGGTTTTTTGAAATGAAAGAAACTGGAAAGAGCAGATACTTGTTCTCTCTGTGTTCTGATGTCAGCACTGCTTTGGGGCAATGAACAATGCACTTGGACATTACTACAAATGAATGCCTGCTACAGGTTGGGTCTCATTCATTCAAGAAGTTATCCTAGCACACACAGGGCCAAAGCTATAGACTTTTTTTGTGTGTGGGGGGGAAGGGATCAGGAGGAAAGGGTGGTCCTCTGGTAACAGAAGACAATCCTTATTATTCCTCTGGTATGGTTGTTGACCTAACCACAGCAGTCAGTATTGTCTCCAAAACCTTTTAAGGGGGCAAGTCTATCCTCACAGTGACCGTGAGCTGTTGCTTAACCTCCCTGAGCCTCACAGTCCCATCTGCTAGATGGGAACAATACTTCCCTTGGAGGCTGCCAGAAAATGGAAGGTTCCAGTTAACCTGTTTGTAAAGACAGTCTACTACATTTAATAAAGACATAAATTCTGTGCTCAGTATTTCAAGTTTCCTTTCAATCCTGCATTAAATTTCATTCTGTATGTATACTATACACATGTTATCTTTTAATATTTAATTACAAAGCATAAATGATTGGGAATTATGTAAATTCTTAGGTAAATTTGTTAGTTAAGCTTTGCCAACAGGGAACAACAGACTGATCCACAGAACCACCTTGTGACAGTCATTTACTTGAGCACAATCTTAGAAATCTGGAACATACCCAGTAAATAACAATATGGCTTAAACCTGTAAAACTATGCCCCAAAGCAAAGACTAATGCTACTATTCTCCCTTATTACTGAATACATGAGATCTTGCATGCAATTTCAATCTTTTTTTCCTTGAAAGAAGAAAAGAGAGTGAAGATGGTATATTGCCAATGGTATACTGCCAGTGGGGGCAAGTGGTTGCCATCAAAAGTAAGCCCCCTGGAGAGCATCTCCCGTTGCCCTGACAGTTGTGTATTACAAGTCATTCTGGTCTGAAGGCCACTGCCTCAGTCCTTTGCCATACTTCCTAGATTAGTGTTCTCCTTAAATGACCTAAGAATTAATTTTTTTTTTTCCATTACAAACCCAAATTCACATTTAGTAAAATTGTTTTAGCAAGATCCACAATCCTCAGGCTGAAGCCAGAGTTTTCTCATCAGTTAGCATGATTCCACCACAGCTGTATGCATTCTACAGCAGAGGCTTAACCCTCAAACTGTAGGGACACATGACACAGAGGGCGAGATTTCTGAACAAAACTGTGTCTAGACTAAGACTGTTTCTCACTTGGGCCCTCCGCCATAACCTCCCTAAAATAACCAACTAAATATTCTACCAGGGAATATATTTCATGGTGTTTGTATTTAATATAAAAAGTTGTAATTCACTCACTGGCCCTTCCAAGATGGCAAAACAACAGGAAGTGCTATTTTGAAAGTGTAAAAGACTAAAAAATGCTTTAAAGGCTTTATGTAGCTCTGACACATAAGTTTCAAAGAAGTATGAATGACAATTAACAGCATATAGCACTTGGATACTTCTGGCCAAAGCAGATGACCCGTTTCTGATTTTTTTTTTTTTACCTTCTTCCTCCCTTAGTTGATGTCAAGAGGCTGCCAAGGTAATGCAACACAAGACATTAGCCCAAGGCCCTTTAAAAGTTAGCATGTGTCAACTTACAGTGCCTGGTTTTGAAAAGCTAGAGTGTCCCTTCAGCTTTTCACAGCAGAAAATTCATGGGGATTTTGGCAGCCTGAAGATTCTAGAACCAGTTGTATTATTCCTAAGAAGAGTTGATATACTTTCTTGTCTAAGTATTCCTCAGATTTTACCATCTAGAAATCGCTCAGTGTTGACAAAATTCTCACAGCTGCAGTGAGTGAGGGAGTAGGAGTTTCGAGTTCTATTAAGGATACTGTCTAGTAATTTCCTGGGTAATTGTTCTGTCCTACCAGAAGAAAGGCAGAATGAGGGTAGACCACTAAAGTAACCTGGGGAGTAAGGCAGATTCTTTATTTGCAAATGTACATTAGGGAAAGAAAGTGCTCCCACTAGGGATTAATTCTTATGAGCTGGCACACAGATGTCAGTAAGACCTACTATACTAACTAACCTGGAGAGAATGTGAAATACAAGAAACACTTTGTTCTCATGATTCTGGGGGCTGGGAAGTCCAACAATAAGGTGCCAACAGATCTGGTGTCTGTTGTGCAGGCCATCATTACATGGCAGAGAGCAGAGAGGGCTAGTCTCACAGGTCTCCTATCAAGGCTACTTCACCTTCATAAGCTACTCGCTTCCCAAGACCTGCCACCTCCTGCAACAGTACCACAGGGGCTCATGCTTTGACCACATTGAATGAAACATTTATTACATGACAACAGAAAATATCCACTTGAGTAATGACTGAAATTTATGTTTGATTTCAGTTACAACAAGCAGAGTCAACATCTGGATTAGAAGCTACTGATGCTATAAGCTGCAAAAACAATAGTGAGGTGAGTGTCTACACATATACAAGGCTAAGCAATATTCCCTAAATTCACACCCACTCACACTTCAGAAGGTACCCTTTTGTTATCATAAGGCCTAAGGGCTGAAATGAGATCATAGAAGATTAATGCTACTCTGATTTCTAAAGGTCACATCCTTAGAAGACACACAAGATACGGCCATAGAGGATGGAGGCAAAATGGAGTTAAACAAGGCAAGCTACCAGAAGCTGGAAAAGACAAAAGAATGCTTCTTCTTGTGGCACTGGGAAAGATCTGTTGTCCTGCAAGCACCATGATGTGAGAATAAAAACTTTCTAAATTTTATGTTATTTATTTGAGTGGTAGCATTTCATAGAGATTTCTATCTGCTGGCTCTCCCCGAGTGGCTGCAATGGCCAGGGCTGGGCATGATAGAAGCCAAGGGCTTTTTCTGAGTCACCCACGTCAGTGCAGAGGACCTGGTAATTGGGCCAGCATCAACTGCTTTTCCAGATGCATTAGCAAACAGCAGAATAGGAAGTGGAGCAGCCAGTAATTAAACCAGCACTTATAAGGGATGCTGGCATTGCGGGAGGCAGCTTTACTTGCCAAGCCACAAATACAGAGTATACTGTTAAGAAATAAGTATTAGGAATTTGCTTTGCTTGTAATCCTGCTTCTAAGGAAGGAAATTTCCTGAAAGGTTTTATTGTAGTTTTGACTCAAAAAGAACAAAATCACCTAACTGTGACAGATGGCACTCCATGAACATTCCTGGATGGCTAGATTACTGTTAAAACATTTAGTTACCGTAACTTACACACTTGTCCCACTTTGGGACAAGGAAGAATAATCTTGCTAGATAGGAATGCTAACTGGGTCAGCAATAGAGTACAAAATGAGTGGTATTGGGAAGGGAATAAGGCTGACATTGCAATTTTGCCTGAAGGTCCTCGAGGCTTCTAAATTTAGTAGTGAAAACCATTTCTTGCTGCTTCTGCCATGCCCATCTCATTAACGACAGAATCATGTACCCAGACAAGATTGAAAAGAGAGGCCTTCCTGACCTTTAAATCAGCTCAGCTCTTCAATTAATCCTAATCCAACAGGAAATAAAGAAAACCCTAGATGCCTGAGTAAATCCTCCTAATTGTAGAAACCCTTCATTGGTAGATGAGCTCAATACTAAACACAGAGCTGTGGTCTTGGTCTTAGACCCACATAGCTAAAGAGGTTTCATATCACCACCATTTCACCCAGCAAAGGCTACATGGAATAGCAGGGCTTCTAATATTCTTGGTGTTTATAAGAAGTATGTGAAGAAATTAAGATTAACATATAAACAAACCCTCTTCACACAGAAAACTTTGAAAAAGAGCAACAAAGTTGGAGGACAGATATGTAGAAAAGCAGAACAAAATCGGAAACACCCCTACACTTACATGACCAAATCATGCAAATGTTAACTTGTCAGACTTAAAACCGAAAATTCAAAAAGAAAACTTTAAAATTTTTGCTTAGCAAGAGAATAAAAGTGAAGAAGTGTACTTCATCAACACGGTGACTCACTGTAAGGCAAGATTACTGAAATGAATAGGCAAGTTACAGATGAGACAATATTTTCAAACTATGTATATATACATATCACATTATAAGTGATCCATTTATTACAAATAACCCATCTATTAAATAAAGAACTCTTACAAGGCAGTTTTTGAAAAAAAAAAAAGGGTATGACTGGAATCAACATGTCACAAAAGAAGGAATATGAGAGGCAAATAAATCCAAGAAAGGAAGTCTAACACTGCTATTTTAAGGGAAATATAAAACTACTATGAGTGTCACAACTAGAATGTCTACATGGAGACCAGATCAGGTTTTGGTGAGGATGGGACTCACACACTGCCAACAGGAATCACTCACAGCAGTGCAGCCCCCAAGTAATTCGTGTCTGCACATGTACACAACAATCCTGCATACAATATCCTAACACAGAAACAAACACCATCAGTCTATGAATGGGTAAACAAACTATGGTGTATTCCATGTAATGGATTACCATTCAGCAAGGAATAAGCTACTGACACAGCAGTGCAGATGAAAACGCAGCATGAATGCCTCTAAGAAAGCAGGTACCGAGGAATGTGTCCTATACTTTACCATCATACAGACATCCAGAGGGCAAAACCACACACCAGAGGGCACAGCACTGGCTTTCTGGGAGGAGGGATTTGACTGCAAGGGATTCATGATTCAACTTTTGAGTGATGTAAATCTGTGATACTAAACATTTTCCAAAACACATCTAACTGTAAACTTAAAAATGAACATTATTTTACTCCTAAAACCTATCATTTTTAAAAGCTTCTCAAATATTTGCCCTAAACACATTATAAATGCTACAATATCACAAATTTGCACTATGTGCAATAGTCTAAATACAGCTTTACAAAAAGCTGCTTGGATTTTTGTCAAGCCAAATTATTTAAAGTTTGAAACAAATCCAAAACTTATTCAAGTGAACCACTTCTAATGATTCTTTTTTTGGTATTGGCATTTTATTGAAAACAGAATATTTTCCTATTTGTTCAACTAAACATTAACATATCCACAAGTTTTGCATTATAGCTTTGCATCATTCTCCTGGCTAATGCACTATATAATTCCCTAATTAAAGAATTACTCTAAGTACAGCTTGACATTTTAAAGTTTCTACCACTCTAATTTCTTTCAAGGTCACAAATAACTGTTCTGCTGTTTTCTTATTACCGTATAGGAAGGAAAAGGGCTCGATCAACACTCTTCTGAAGATAATTCAATTGGATGTGACAAAGAAAATAAAAAAAAAATTGTGAGACACTATCTGAATCGATATTTTAGAAGCAGATAGCTCTAATTATTAAAAATTCTCAGAAAAGCATAGACTTAATGTTTTTCATACAAAGCGTGCACACACACACACACACACACACAAAACCTTGTCTCCCCAGTCCCTCAACTGCCTTCACTCCCCTCCTGTAAAATGCAAAGTGAATATTCCAATGACAGTGTGCCATCTAATCTACTTAGTAGTTAGGTTTGGAGGACATATTTTTATATTTAGTCAGTACTGTAATATAGAAACTCAACACATTTGGGAATTGATTTAAATATGCATCGCAACCTTCTGTCCAATCATTGACCACAACACAAAACAGTCCCTTCACATACATATCACAGCAGTTCAACAAGCAATGTTCTCTAAAAGCTCTTCCCCCAGCAAGTATAATGGCATGTGTCAAAGTCACTTCCTGTCTAGCTTCTAGAGTTAGTGCAGTCCAGTGGCTGCAGGTAAGATCCACTTAGGCTGTATGGGAGGTTATTCCTAATGTAGCAAAGGGTCTCATTTTAGCTCTTTACATAAACTGATCAACTGACTGGTTATGCTAGAAGGAAACAGACTTCCGACACTCTTAACCATCCAAGTAGAATCTAATTTAGTGATGATGATGTATTTTTGGCAAAATATAATTTACCTTTCTAACATAAATTTATTATCATAGAACCATAAAGCAAATGAGCTAAGCTAACTTTAATGCCCAGTCCTTGAGGTTTAATCTCTTCTATTTCACACATTTACATAATCCCACTGGCTGCTGCAGGTCCTCTGGCTGCTGTGTGCCCCAGGAACCCAGTTTGGCCCAAGTACTGGAGCAGGAGTGGGGAGTCATCCTGAAAATGGAGGCTAATGTGTGTTCTTAGTGAAGTCCTCTCCACTAGCCACAAGCAGGCCCCTAGTAGCACTCAGCAATCATACTCATTTCCTTAGTCCATTTCATATCTCATGCCTAGATTTGATGATTTCATATCCTTTTTTTTCCCCTCCCAGCATTTCCTTACCATTCCTGATTTTATCCTTCCTCTGAGAAAATAAGCTGCAAAGAATTATCCATAAGCACTGGCCATACTACCCACTCCTGTCATCTAAATTCACACCCTTAGCTTTTTCTTATAACATGCACCATCTAGCTGTCCACAGTCACACTAAGGAAGGGCCTACCCCTCCACCTACATGTTCTAGCCACCTCCTCTTGTCTACTTAATGAGGCTGCCCAGCAATCCCTATAATCACTTGTTCCTGTCTTACTTCTCAGTATGTTATAATTCCTCCCCTCTTGACCCATACCTCCATCAGCTGTCACTCATTTCTCTGCTCACTTATGCAGTCAGATTATTTGAGCTGTTGGGAGTCACTATCTTCAATTATCTCTCATTATTCTTAACTTGTCCCAATTAAATCTTTGTCATCACTTCACCAAAACTTCTTATCAAGCTCTCTGGTAATCTTCATGTAACAAGCCCATTAACTCCTCCCCTCCTAGCTTTTTCATCTGGCTTCTGGCTACATTCTCCTCCTGGTTCTTTTCCAACCTCACAGGCCACTTGGAAGGCCCTGGTGTTGAGTGCTTGACTCTGGGTTCCTAAACAATGCCCTGCCCCAGGGGCTAGAATCTGTTTTCTATCTACTCTCTTTTCCCAAATGGTCTCTTCCATCCTTGCAGCTTTAAATATCAAATATGTTCAGGTACTTTCCAAATCTGTGACTTCAGGCTGCTCTCCCAATTTAAAATTTCAGATTTGGCTACTCATTTTACTTCTCCTTTTGGAAGTCTAGTAAGAATCTCCAAGTGTAAACTGAACTTCCTCCTGGTTTTTCCCCTCAAACCAGTGCCTCCCATGGTCTCTATCATTACTCCAATTCAAGCCAAGACTCCATCATCTTTATTTTCTTTTGTTTTATTCCATATTTAACCCACCTGAAGACCATAATGGTTCCATCTTAAAATATATCCAGAATCCAGGGGTTTCTCACCCCCTCACATTGGCCACCTCTCACTACGGACTGCTGTGACACCATGTTTTCCCCCTTTCCCTTGGAGATTTTTCTCAACAGTCTCTCTCTGTCGGTCACGACATCATAACCACTTGTGTCCTCTCCCAAGTGCTTTCCTGTCTCATACACAGAAAATGCTAACATCCCAATGGTGACCCTCACAACCTGGTGCCTGTCTGCCCTCATTGCTGCTGCTCACCTGACTTGCTCTGCTCTGGTCACATTGTCCACTAGTAACACCCAGGCATGCTCACATCTACAGCTTTGCTGTTCCTTCTACTGAAAATCCTCTTGACAATGGAGCTGTCAGTTGGGAGGGTTGCCTCACCCTTTGATCAATGAAATCGATAGCATTTCAGAAATATCCAAACCAGCAGGACCCTGGGTTAATATTTGGGAGGCTGAGTGTGGCTTCCCCCTTTATCTCTTCCCTCCCCTCACAGACAAGAAGACAGAAAGAGTTTGGAATCAATGATT